TCCGACTCAATCGCCTCGCTCCGTGCCTCACGAAGGGGGGCGCTGCTTGTCTGGGCCATTCTCGCGCCGCCTTTCCACCACATGGCCGGATGTATTCAGGTAGAAGCTTTCGCTGATATCGGCAGCGCCGAGGACTGTGACTCGAGCTGGTTTTGGCACATGACGCGATAGCTTTGCGCACGAGTGCCATGATACGTAGACATCGGCGACGGAGTCAGCAGGCAGAAAATCACCAACCTCTCCCCAGTCTGCGAGCCAGAACACCTGGCGCATTTTCCTCGCAGATGCTTCCAGAGGCTCACGCGACGCGAAACACGTGCAGGCTGACAATTTCAGACTCGGGCGTTGTTGAGACTATTGCGTCAATTCGTACGCACATGCGCAGCAAGATTGTGTACCACATCTTCTCATTTCTGAACGACGAGTGCACTGTACTTCAGGCGTGCTCCGAGTGTTTAGTCCTTGTATGTGCACCCGCACAAGCGCACTGAGAGTTGAATAAAAAGCTAACGATCTATCCCCGACTGGGGTGTTCTATTCCGGTGAGAAATGCCTGGGAAGACCAACAACAAGCTGAAACGGAAGTCCAAGCACAGCAAGAAGGTGAAATAAGCATGTCAAATGCTACAAACATATTCGGTGCGACATCCTGCGCAATACAACGCACATCCATTAAGAACAATGTGCGGGAATACAACGGAACGTAATGACTGCACCGCAATGCTAATAACCCAATGTGCTGCAACGCGCTGCAGAGCAACGCAAGGCAATAACAACACGTACCAACGCACATCATATCACTATATGCGTAACATATTCTCCCTGAGCAAAGCTTCCGCTACAAGGCTTTCACTTGCTTGTTGCTGCGGTTTCACGTTCTCGCCCTGGTGCTCTACGGGTGGTGCCCTATGGCCAGTGCCCCATAATGCCTCATATGTTGCGATTTCTCGTTGCTGCCCAGGTGCAGGATGGGTGGTGGTCTCGCTGTCCCTCTCCCCCTCCCTGGTTTCTCCTACCTGGGGGTCCAAAATCCGAGGGTGCGCCGCTGGATCTCCCCAAGGGGGGGGGGGGTAGGAATCCCCCCCC